GCCTGGCTCTGCCTCCCGAGTACTGGGATTAAAGGCGTGCGCCACCACCGCCCGGCTTATTTTGAAGTTCTTAATTGCAATGAGTTCATTTTTATGATTTTTTTTTTTCTCAAAGAGACTGCCTTTTCCTTTTATTCTTATTTTCCCCTTACGTTCTTTTTGTTTGTTTGTTTTGGTTTTCAAGACAGGGTTTCTCTGTGTAGCCCTCGCCATCCTGGAACTAGCAGTGTAGACCAGGCTGGCCTCAAACTCACAGAGATCTTCCTGGCTCTGCCTCTCCCTTACATTCTTAACTACATTTCCCAATGAAGCTCTCCTCTGCACAGTGATCTTCACCCATCTGTTCAGTATTCAATACCCAACCACTCCATCTTCTTACAAAGTGTTGGCTTTGCTCTAAGAAACACACAGAGATAGCTGGGTGGTGATGGCACATGCCTTTAATCCCAGCACTCGGGAGGCAGAGGCAGGTGGATCTCTGTGAGTTCGAGGCCAGCCTGGTCTACAGAGTGAGTTCCAGGATGGGCTCTAAAGCTTCACAAAGAAACCCTGTCTCGAAAAAACAAACAAACAAAAGAGAGGGGGGGGGAGGGGAGAGAGGAGAGGAGAGGGGAGAGGGGAGAGGGGGGGAGAGGGGAGAGAGGAGAGGGAGGGGGAGAGGGAGAGAGAGAGAATATTTTTAGTTATACTTATCAGATTTAATGGTGTATCTTAACTCTGTGGCTATAACTGGTCTCTCTTCCATCATGTGGGGCCTGGGAACTCTGGTCATCCCTCTTGATGGCAGGTGCCTCTCCCTGCTGAGCCACCTTGCTGGTCCTGCAGTGCTTCTTAGGTATCGCCCTCTCTCTGAGCACTTTTCTTCCTACTGAAGTACATCTTTTCAGGAGTTTCTTCAGGAAGGATGTGTGATGTGTAGGTAAGGGTTTTGTTGTTATTTTGAGACAGAGTTTTGGTGTTTAGCCCGATTGCCCTGGAATTCACTATGTAGACTAGGCTGGCTTCAAACTTGCAGTGATCCTCCAGCCTCAGCTTCACATGTGCTGGGATTACAGGCATGTAGTTCCATGCCTGGTCAGTTCTTTATATTTTTTAAACTTTTTTTTTTTGAGCTGAGAATCCAACCCAGAGCACTCTACCACTGAGCTAAATCCCCAACCCCAAAAGATATTTTTCTACTTTTTTATTTTTCTATTATCAGCTTGATACAGTATAAATTCTTATCCTAATTGTGAAATGTTTCATTGAGACTTGCCCAGTAATTGAGTAAAACCAAAACTTATTATAAGCCACAGTCACCCTAGGGTCCCCCCTGCTATGTAGCCTCCCTGGTTCTGTGGGTTGCAGTCTGATTGTTCTTTACTTTATATCTAGAATCCACTTATGAGAGAGTACATACCATGTTTGTTCTTCTGGGTCTGGGTTACCTCACTCAGGATGATTTTTTTCTAGTTCCATCCATTTGCCTGCAAATTTCATGCTGTCATTGTTTTTCTCTGCTGAGTAGTACTCCATTGTGTATATGTCCCACATTTTCTTAATCCATTCTTCAGTTGACGGGCATCTAGGTTGTTTCCAGGTTCTGGCTATTACAAATAATGCTGATATGAACATAGTTGAGCATGTATCTTTGTGGTATGTGAGCATTCCTTGGGTATATGCCCAAGCGTGGTATGGCTGGGTCTTGAGGTAGATCGATTCCCAATTTTCTGAGAAACCGCCATACTGATTTCCACAGTGGTTGTACAAGTTTACATTCCCACCAACAGTGGAGGAGTGTTCCCTTTGCTCCGTTTCCTCTCCAACATTGACTGTCATTGGCGTTTTTGATCGTAGCCATTCTGACAGGTGTAAGGTGGTATCTCAGAGTCGTTTTGATTTGCATTTCTCTGATGATTAAGGATGTTGAGCATTTTTTTTTAAAGATTTATTTATTTATTATGCATACAGTGTTCTCCTTGCATGTATGTCTGCAGGCCAGAAGAGGGCACCAGATCTCATCACAGATGGTTGCTGGGAATTGAACTCAGGACCTCTGGAAGAGCAGCCAGTGCTCTTAACCTCTGAGCCATCTCTCCAGCCCCTTGAGCATTTCTTTAAATGTCTTTCAGCCATTTGTGATTCTTCTTCCCAAAAGATATTTTTGTTTGTTTGTTTTTTGAGACAGGGTTTCTCTGTGTAGTTTTGGTGCCTGTCCTGGATCTCGCTCTGTGGACCAGGCTGGACCTGCCTCCTGAGTGCTGGGATTAAAGGTATGCACCACTGCTGCCTGGCCTCGAAAAGCTATTTTTATGTGTGTGTTTTGCCTGTGTGTATGTTTATGTACAACATGTGTACATTGCCCACAGAGAAAGATCAGAACAGGGCATCTGGCTGGGCGTAGTAGCAAATGCCTTAATCCCAGCACTCAGGAGGCAGAGGCAGGTGGATCTCTTATTAGTTTGAGAACGGCCTGGTCTACATAGTAGGTTCTAGGACAGCCAGAGCTAGATAGTGAGACCCTAATCGCAAAAAACCACATGCATGCACGCACATGAGCATGTACACACACACACTCAGAGGGAGAGAGGAAGAGAGAGGGAGAGAGGAAGAGAGAGAGAGAGAGAGAGAGAGAGAGAGAGAGAGAGAGAGAGAGGAGAGAGAGAGGAAGAGGAAGAGGAAGAGAGGGAGAGAGGGGGGGGGCGAGCATCAAGTCCCCTAGAACTGGAGTTATAGTCAGTTGTGAGCTACCCAGTGGATGCTGGGAACCAAACCAAGAGCTCGTAAATGCTAAGCCATTCTAGCCCCTCAGTCCCTACATGTATGGAAATACTCTGCATCCTTCTCTTTCAAATACCAGGTATACATTACAGGTGAAGTCGTTTTGCTTGTATCTCAGGAAATAGTATTCTTTTGTGACTTGCTGTGCCATCCCTGTTTAAAAACTGACTCAAGCGATGAGAAAGGATGGTATCTTAGCTTATGGTTCCTGCGGCTTCAGCCCATGGCGGGTGCCCCACACCAGTCCCTTCTCCTTCCCTCCATCTCATTCCTTTTTTATTTTAAGACAAATTCTTTACTGCTTTACTATTTCAGCGACGGTCTTCTCCCTGGACAACGGGATTGCAGGCCTGCCACGCCTCACTTGTAACTTTTAACGTTTCCATCAGCAGCGTTCACAGATAGCGCTTACGGTTTCTCCCTCATTTTCCTATGTTTCACTAACATCTGTTGGGGTAGGGTTGGTTTTAAAGTTTCTCATTTAGTTTCACAGTGTGCTGTTGACCTAGAGTGATGTCTTTGTTCTGGAAATATATGTTTAATTAATAAAAATAATTTATAGACAGTCTTACTGTGTAGACCAGGCTGGCCTCGAACTCACAGAGGTCCACCTATTTCTGCTTCTGAGTGAGCACAGGGAAAAGTGTGTGCCACTCTGCCCAGTCATTTTATTCTTTTAAACAGTTTGTCTCTATGGAGCTAGCCATAGAGTCTCTCAATTTCCCCTCCCATCTTGAATACTCTTAAGTCCTTTGCTCTCGGCACTACGTTCAGAGGGGATTTCCTCATTCCTGCCTTACATACTCCCTCTTTTTTGTTGCACTGAGTTTAGCCATGTCAAGCTTATCCCATCCATCGAGGACTTGTTAGACTCCCACTGCTGGGACAGAACACCTGACATAAACAACCCAGGAGGTTTCTGAGGCTTCAGTCCATGGTTGCTGGCTTCTGTGTTTTGGGGACATGGGTAAGGCAGAAAAGGTGTGCAGAACAGAAATGCTCATCTGATGGCAGCCAGGAAGGAGAAAAGATAACGGGAGGCTGGAGTCTAAGCACACCCTCCAAAGGCGTGGCCCCAGTCAGCTGCTTCCCCCAGCTAGGCTCGACTTTCAGTATATGAACTTTCAGTACATGAACCTTCAGTACATGAACCTCCAGATCCAGACTATAACAGGGATTTTGCTTTCAATGATAAAGGTTTTTTTTTTTTTATTTTTTTTTTTTTATTTCCCCTGAGACAGGGTTTCTCTGTGTAGCTTTGGGGCCTCTCCTGGAACTCACTTTGTAGACCAGGCTAGCCACAATCTCAGAGATACATTTGCCTCTGCCTCCTGAGTGCTGGGATGAAAGGCGTGTGCCACCACCACCCAGGCCCAATGAAAATGTTTTTAATGTTCAAGATTTCACCCCTGCCCCACCCCACACAGTTCCCTGGTGATGCTCCTCCTGGAGTGGAACTTATGAGTATGTACCATAGTGGAACGTCCATCTTTACCATGTGATAAACACAGGAAGACGTCAAAAGGCAGGGTGGTCTGAGGTAGTGCAGGAGCTGAAGGCTGCATGTCTGGTAGAGCAGCGGTTCTCCACCTTCCTAATGCTGCAACCCTTTAATGCAGTTCCTCATGGTGTGGTGACCCCCAACCATAAAATGATTTTCATTGCTACTTCGTAACTGTATTTTTGCTGTTATGAATTGCAAATATCTGTGTTTTCTGATGGTCTTAGGCAACCTCTGTGAAAGGGTCATTTGACCCCAAAAGAGGTTATGACTCACAAGTTAAGAACCACTATGGTGCTAGGCCATAGTGGCGCATGCTTTTAATCCCAGCACTTCGGAGGCAGAGGCAGGTGAATCAGTCTCTGTGAGTTCAAGGCCAGCCTGGTCTACAGAGTGAATTCCAGGACAGGACAGCCAGGGATACACAATGGAACACTGCCTTGGGAAACCAAAAAAAAAAAAAAAAAAAAAAAAAAAAGGAAGAACTGCTTTGGTAAGGGAGTAGAGCAGCTGCTGGCTTGTAGAGATTCCATCTTCTGGGTGTAATGGACAACATTTGTAGAAGTCTCTTTGGGCTGTTACATCTATTAAAGACATTTGCAGCTTAGCCCAGTGGGGTGAAAGGACAATCTTTCCCACCCACTCATTCAGAACTTCACCAGTTAAAGATACTGAGTCCCTGTTTGGGGGTAATTCCTGTTTCAGAGAGCATTGCCAGAAAGCTGGTCTGTGGACAGCTCCAAAGAGGCAGAGAAGGAAAATGGAAAGGCTGATTCTAGATGGACCACTTGCCAGCTAGAGCTCAACCCAAGAGCAGTACCCCGGAGTCTTGTGTCTCCTGCAGGTACCGGGCATTTAGGGATGATGATGGACACTATTCCCAGACTTACTGGACTCTCCTGGCTATCCGCCTGGCCTTTGTCATCGTGTTTGAGGTATCCAAGACCCCTGAAAGCTCTTCCCATGACTCCCATCCCCGTGCTGGCCCCTGTACTTAACGTGATGCCCCTGACTTGCTTTGCCTAACACGGGAAGGGTAAGACCAAAAGAACTCCCACTCTGTCTTCTCCGCTCATCTAAATTCTCTGCACCTTACTTGCCAGCCTCTGCCCCTGGCTCATGGGCTAGCTAGCCACTGAGTGCTCGGAGGATTGCAAGGTGCTATGGGGACCTCTGAAGGGCCTCTGCTCCTCCAGCAGTTCCACTCACCTGGGAGCCTGGCTGCCTAAAGGCTAGTCTGGGCTTTTGTTTTACCAAGGGCTGGGGGCGGGGTGGGGCTTCTACCGCCAGCACGTGGTGTTCTCCACTGGCCGTCTTCTGGATCTCCTGGTTCCTGACATCCCTGAGTCTGTGGAGATCAAGGTGAAGCGGGAATACTACTTAGCTAAGCAGGCCCTGGCTGAGAATGAGGTGAGCATCCAAGCCCTGACCCTAAGGCTCTCAGGTCCCATGACTAACCGTGGACCTTAAAGTGGGCAAAGGACGGGGGGGGGGGGGGGGTGTAGGTGGGGTTTATAGTCACATCTATTCTGTAGTCACCCTGACAACTCACTTTCTTCAAGACAGGCTCTCCTTGGAGCAACAGGAGCGAAGGATGACCAGCTTCCAAGCTCAGAGTCTGGGCCTTCCAGCCTAGGGTCTTAGAACTAGTAACCTCCTCTCCTCCGTCTCTGAGGTCACTCTCACCTCTGAGGGTCACTGGAGGCTGACACACTTGCCTGGAAGACTGCTGAAGATGTAATAGGAAGACAGTTCACCGTGCATGTCCTTGGAGGCCATGGCCATGCTCCTGGCCCCAGCTCAACTTACCCCTCCGCTTGGTTTAGAATAACCAGGCCCCTGGCTGCCAGTCTTCAGCTCATACATACTGCTTGGCCACCACCCCTACTAGGTATTCCTTAAGGCCACCCAAATGGAGCAGCAGTGCTTGTTGACCTTCAGGGGGCTATGCCCTACTGCCATCCCTAAGTCCCTGAGCCAATGGCTTGTCTCCCTTTATCTCAAGGCAGAAGGGCTATCTGGAATGCTGGCTTCTGTGGCTCTCATTTTCACAGTGCTGGCCATTGTACTCAGAGAATCTGTCCTTCCCTTGCCTCAGGCAGGACTTCCTCTTATCTCCAGTGGGAAGGATCCCTGCATGCCTCTGCATGTGACCAGGAGGTGGCTTTACTGTTGACATATCCTCCCACCCCCTGTCCTCACCCTTAGGCATAAGTCCTCTGTCAACTGAGGTTAGACTCTGGGGTCCCTGCCTCCTCAGGGATTTACTCAGTTATTTGCAGCATTCCTTGTGATAGTGTCGGTCCGACCACCCCTCCAGACCCACCCTCTGCCTCTCCTCACATGGCCATTACACATCTGCATATCTGGCTCAGACCACACCCCAGGCCACAGTAGGAAGCCTGTGCCTGCTCTTTCTTGCATACCTAATTACCCAAGGCCTCTGGGTTCTGGCTGTCTTGGCCTCTATCCTGACAGATCAAGGGCCTCTGCAGTACCTATCCCCTTTGTCTCCCGTGCTTTGTCTCCAGTGCTGGGCCTTCCAGTGCTGGGCCTGGGACTCAGCACATAGCGAGCACAGAACGGAGAAGGCTGTGGAATGAAGCCTTACCCCTTTCAGTGGAGCTGAAAAACAAAACAAAACCAAACAACTAGATTTCTGTGACACCTAGTGGACCTTTTCCATTCTCCCTTTGTGTTTACATACAACTACTTTTCAAATTGGGTACAATTAGGGCCTTTTCCCGTTGCTTGCCTTCTGTTAGCTGGGTTAACTGATGGCTAATTCCAGTTATTTCCTATCCACTCATGATGGGATATGGGTCTTTCCTCCTCTTCTGCCATTCAGCCACACTGGAATAAAGGTCTAAACGTCAGTACTTATCTGTGCTTATTTCTGTGGGGTTATTAGGACTCACCGAGAAATATGCAGTTTTGGAAGGGCTGTGAAACACACACATTTCCTTTGAAAACCTTTTTCCAAACCATGTTCTCATCCACATACCCACTGCTTCACTTTGGCAGCTCCTGGCCTCAGATGTGGCTCTGTGCTTACTCTGGCATTTGACATGGGACAAGGCTGCCCACTGAAGCTTGCGTGGCTGCTGGACAACCTAGCCAGTTCAATGAGTGCATTTGCCGGGGAAAGCCTTACTATACAAGCCCCATGTACTTTCTCCAGGCTGTTTTGTTGTCGTAATCTTTAAAACCTATTACTGTGTGTATTTAAGACCTGTGGGTAAGTGTGGGGATGTGTGCCACAGCTCATATACAGAAGTCAGGAAACACCTTTTGGGGCCAGTTCTTGCCCTGGGCTCCGGGGATTACACGAGGTCAGGCTTGTGCAGTGTAGAGTTGGAATGAGCAATGCCCTCACAGGCTGTGGCAGCTGAATACTCCATCCCCGTTTGGGGATGTCCAGTCAGTGCTCCCTGCTTTGTCCTTAACCCCCTTCTCAAAGTTGCCTTGTTTTATCAGTGACAGAAAAGTAACTACTGCATGCAGGAAGCACGTTTACCTAAGCCACGTCACTGGCTCTATCTTTAAAATATTAAAACAAACTTGCCAAACAGAAGAAAATACCTGCTTTTACCTGAAGGAGTTTCATGTAAACACACTGCTGAAACCAATCCAGGGTGGCCCATGCCTTACCCGTCCTGGACAACTAAGCCAGGAGTTGGCCATGGACTCCTAGTGACTTCCACTGGACGCCAGGGTCTTATCCACAATACTATAGGAGGCACATATTGGTGCTGGGACCTGAAAGTAGACCCACTGTGGGGTCCTGTTTTCATCTGGAACCATGTGCTTTCTCAGGATGCATCTCCTGGGCTGGAGATGCTGGGTTACCGGCCTTCTCAGCAGGAGGTGCTATGCTAGGCCCTTGCTCCCTTAGCCCCTTTGAGGGATCTTCTATGGCATGGGGACTGGAGTAGTTGGTCCTTCATTAACCTTGCTCTGCCCTCCACCCCTCTCCTTCTCAGTTCCCGCAGGCAGGGACCGGCCCACAGGCCCAACCTCAGCCCGGGTGTTGGGAGCCTGTCAGGAGTGTCAACAGAAAACACAAAGCTGGGATGTTGCTGGTTTCGTGAAGACCATGTCGCTCCCCCAGCAGGGCTGTCTCATTTAATAGTTGTGGGGCAGGCACTGACTGGGCTGGGAGGTTGGGTCAAGGTGCAGGAGCAGGCAAGACTTCCTCATGGAGACAGCACTGGAAGGGACAGAACAGTGCTAAGAATTGCTAGAGAATCACAACATGAATTAGGGAATTACCCAGGGCCATTGAAGGAGAGAATACAGACTTGATAAAATGAGTCTCATCACACTGCCTCTGGTTTCGGGTTTTATTTTAGAATTTATAAAATTCCAGTGTCATCCATATTCATGAGCCTTTACACATGTTTGCATATAATCTCCAAATTCCAAAGTTAAGGCCAAGGGATGGATGTAGCTATGGAAACATAGGACATGGAAGACATTCAACAAGGAGGAAAGGACACTCCCCACCCCTGCCTAGGCCCCTCAACAGCTTGGAGGCTGCAGGGAGGTGACCTGGGCACAGTCAATTTCATAGTCCTTATTAACAATCAGAGAAAAGGAGCGAGACCCTGAACAGTGTAGGGTAGGGCTTACATCTATAGCACTTAGCAATAAATGGAGATGTGCAAAATCCCGGTGATCATTTCCACTTTACCCTCTGGGGAAGGAAGAGACTGGGCATTGTAGGAGGACAATGAAGATGACGAGGGGCTGGAAGGGCAGGAGGGAAGCAAGGTGTCCCCAGTGTCATGCAGACGGGAGAAAAGACAGCTCCAGGGAAAGGCAGGGAAGCCCTCTCCCTGTCTCACCCACCTGGCTCAGCTGTCAGCCTACTGTGCAAAGCAGATGTTCTTCCCATCTCAGCATCATTCCTATACACGGGCGCATGGGGCTGCTTCATCTACAGGGAACTGAAGTTAGACTTGGAAAAGCAATTCTGGATCCACTTAGGAGTTAGAGTCTACAGGTAGCCAAGCCTGAGTTACTAAATAGAGAGTGACAGACTTGGGGAAGGTGTCACAGTACAAGTGACAGTTCCCAGGGAAGGCCATGAGATGGGCACAGGTTGGCTTTTCTAGGAACCCAAGTATCTGGGACAGGACTTGTTGCTAGTTGATCAGATGACCTGGAGATAAAAGACCTGTCCTCAGTCTCCACGACACAAGAGGGACACTTCTGCTGGGGACCACTTTTCCTGGTGAGGGCTGCCTGAAGCCATGCTAGCTGGGGCCAGGGGTCCAAGCTACCTCTTCACCTGAGACAAGGCTTCCCTCGGCTAGCAGCACTCCCTGCGCTGGGCCTTTGTTTTCATTCTGCCTTTCCTTTTAATCCACGCTGAATGACCACCTCTGTCGCTGATACCTGCCCTTAAGCCTGTCCCTCAGGACTGCAGAAAGCATCCAGGCATGCCTGCCAGAGTCTACACGGTCAGGCTGGCTGGGAATGAGCACCCTGCTCTGGACCAGCCCCTGAATCATGGGGGCTGAGGGAAAGCCCAAGCTGTCACCCTCCTCAACTCAATGGCAAGCCCAGAACCACCAGAAATGTCTAAATCAAGAGGGGCCTCGGGGGTGGCACTAACCACATGAGAGTACTACCACACTGGCTGAGGTAGAAAGAAGGCAGCTGAACACGAGGTGTCTGGCCAGGCAGAGGCTAAGGGTTGTAGGAAAGTCGAGCTATCAGTTAGGGTCAAGCCCTCTCCCACCACCAAAGAGAAGCCAGTCTCTACCTCCCCCCCCCCCCCAAAGTCTCAAGCCACCCCAGTCCGCTGTGACAGCCACAGGGAACCCAGATGGCGCACACAGCTGGGCCTCTAGGCTGCCTACACCAGCTCGCGAGGCTGAAGCTGCAGGACAAGCCCCGATACTTTCAGAACCCAAGTGGGTACCATCTGAGGACCCAGGTCACCCTCGACCTCTCGGCCCACTCTATCACCAGGACATCTGACCTCTTGCTGTCCAAAACCATGCCTTCCTCCTATCCTGTAGCCCGAGCTAAGCAGATTTTGACAGCTAATGGAAGCTGACTGCTTTCCATAAAGAGGAAGGTCTGGGTGACAGGTGGCGGGCAGGAGGGAGGTGGGAAAGGAAGAGGGCAAACGTTTTGGCTTTTATAAAGTCAAGGAAATTTATTTCCTGAGGTCATGACACAGGAAGTCAGCTCCTAGCCGCTGTGGAGCTCTGGTGTGAAGGTCAGAGTGCTGACTACATGCTGGGTGGACCAGGAAGCTGGAGTCTGTGATCACGAAATGCTCGATTACCTTGCTTAGTGTTTCACACAGTGGCGTGCCTGTCCCAGAGCACAGCATCAGGAGCAGACCCTGAGCCTGCTGGGTGCTGACCAGGCCTGGAGAAACAGCCACACAAGGCCAGCCCACCAGGCTTTGCTGCGAGACCTCGGGGAGGGGGAAGAGCATCAACAATTTACGAGGGTCCAGCTGCTGGGTCAGATTGAGACAAACCATTGTGTGGTTGGGTGTGGGCAGCAGGCTGGAAAGGTTTCTTTTTGATCATTATCGTTTGGGGCCCCAAGGGAGGGTCTTGGGAGCCACTTGAGCCCCAAAACTGGGAAATTCTTCAGAGCTGCTCATATCAGGAGCCTGTGGGGAGGGAGGACACAACTTAGTAAGTACTGGTGGCTCTCACTGACTTACTGAGTTTCCAAAGTCACTCCCCCACACCCCACTGTCCCACCAGCTTGTCCCATGGGGAACAGGCAGTACAGAAGTGCCACCTGACCTTCTCACTGCTGTTAGAGGTCCAGGGAGCATCTCGCACCACGAAGCCTTTGGATGGTGCCTTGGACTCTTCATGTGCTGGGGGCTTCATATAAACCTGCAGCGCCTCGCTGTCCACCACATCAGCCAGCTGCACGGCACAGGGGAGGGAGGCAGTGCCGCTCAGCCTACAGCCAGCCGAACCTGCTGATGGCCATCCCGGGGCCACCCGCCCACCCCCCTGCCCCTCCCTGCCTGTGGAACCATGTGAGTTACTTGGTTGTCACCTCAGGATGGTGGCCAAGCCTCCAGCTAGTCAAGGGACAGGGTGCTTCAGAGCTCAGCCTGGTCTGGCTTGAGGGCCCCTAAAGACTCTGCTCAGGACTCACATATTCCTCCTCTAGGTTGAGGATGTGGTCGATAGCTTCCTCCACGTTCTCCGGGAGTCCTGTCACAGTGACACAATTGGGGTCTGGAGCTCCACTCTGTGGGAAGCGTATGTCCACCTGGAAGAAGCAGGGTCAAAGGGCATTAAAGGACGGACTCTGGACCAAAGTACCACCATCACACTTTTTTTTAGTTAGTGAAGTATTTCCCTCTGAATTCAGGCAAGTCTTAAAGTTTGGTTTTAGGGCTCTTCACTTGAGGAAGTCATCTGCATCACCCTGCCAGAACTACCTGGTTTCCTGAAGACAAAGGGTGCCGAGTGTGTGCATGACAGTCCCATCTTGCAGAAGAAAGGCAGGGCCGATAGCCTAATGGCTCTACTCTTCTAGTGACCCTCTCTGTGAGCCCTCACTGTCCGTGCTTACAGTGATGTCAGAGGGCAGCACCACCCTACAGCCTGCAGGGAAGGCCCTGGTCCTAACACCCCAGAACCAAACACTCCTCCCCTGCCAGCTCTACGCTCGGTCAGTAGCACAGGCAGGTGCCCGCAGGTTTCCAGTGCCCTGGAAAGACTGGAGTTCTCATTCTTGTGCTTCATTTGGCTCTGGACTCACCTTGAACTCATCCATGATTTTCCGGATGGCTTTGCCTCGGGCACCAATGATGCGGGCATGCACACGGTGGTCCAGTGGGACATCCTCAGAAACCATCTGCTCTAGCTCACCCACAATT